AAAGATGAGTAGTGAAAGATAATCTGCCCTATCACATATGCAAAGACATCATCACAACTGTAATAATCAAAACAAATGTGGGGTCCAAAATTAGAGATCAATGGAACAAAATAGATGTGTATAAATAGATCACATATATACAAATAATTTTAACAATAAAGAATATATTTCAAAATAGAGAAAAAAAGAAAATGCTTGAACAAGTAAGTACCTGTCCATTTTAAGGCAAAAAAGTGACTACTGCTCTACCTTACACATTATAAAACAATTTCTAGATGTATTTGAAAAACTAAAGGTTAAAACAAGGTATATAAGTATTGAAAGAAAATAAGCCAGGGTGGGAGGGGGCACATAACATCAATAAGGGTACCTAATCTCAAATCAGGCAAAGCAGAGACCAAGGGAGGCCCAAATTTTACCTGTACAACATCCACTTGCATACTTAACCCTGAATTGTACACCACAACTTTAAAATAAAAATAAACAAAATAAATGAGAATATTTTGAAGCAAGAAAATAAAAGCAATAAAATACAGAATTCATACAGAAAAAAACTGAGAAAGATGACCTATTAAAAATTAACTTGTAAGTTACAAGTTAAAATGACAAGTGACAGAAAATATTCACAGCATATGTATAAAAGATTACTATCCAGAATGTATATAAGGATTTTCTAACGAATAAAAGAACAGATATGATAGACTTGGTGTCAAGAGACATGTTGATTCATTAAACTATAAATAATTTTAAGCTGATGAAAGAATGAAATTTCCTGGATTTTTGTCTATTATAGTGGTCAGTAAAAAAAAAAAAAAAAAAAGATTGGTAATATCTTGTGTTGGTTAGGATGCAAAAAAATAAACACTGTCACACACTGTTAAAAATTTGTAACAGTGAAAAAAACTTGGCAAATTATAACAAAAATTAAGATTCATATATCCTTTGAATATTCAAGTTTTCTACAACTCTATCCTGTACAGCAACTTCCATATTTATATAAAGATGCATCTACAATAATGTGCACTGAAATATAGTTTTAAATAATAAATTGGATACAACATATTAACAGGGAAATAGTAAATCTAATAAATCTAATAAGTCAGTGTATTACTAAATAATATACAGCCACCAAAAGAATGAAATGTCCACTTATCTGTACTGAAATAAAAAGTACTGCAAAAAATATGGTTAAAGACAAACAACATCAGAGAATACTTAGAACCTGTTTCTCTTATGTAAAATGTTATCTGCTATTATATATGTAAATACAAAGAAAAAGGAGCAAAAGCAAACCCATAAAATTATTATCAGTGGATGCCTTGGTGAAATGGAGTGACTGTGGTGTTAAAGTGAGGGCACATTTTCATGCTTATTCTATAGTCTTCAACATTGTTTGAATCTTTTCCAGCAAGACTGTAGTCATATGTTACTCATGTAGTATATTTGCATAGTAAAAATATTTATGTGTCATAGTGACTTGTTTTGAAAATTATGTTTTTTACAAAATAATAATTATATACATTCATGCATAATATCAACTTAACATGTTATTAGACTTCCAATTGCTATTTTGTTCCCATTTAAGGAATTTCAGTTTTTAAAAATATATAACAATTCATACCATTGTAATATACTCAAATTCAACAATGTATTCTGGCAAAACAAGTTCATGATCAAAGACAAACCATTTGCACTGCCGAAAGCTGCAATCACAATTTCTTTTTTCCGTGACAGAATCTAGAGTAAAAACAAAGTCAAACAAAACAAATTTATTTCAAATGAAACATACTTTCTCATCCCTACATAAGTTAATAAATAACAAACTCAGTAAGTTCCAGCAGTTATATTACCGAGGGTCTTTTAAATTTCCCCCTCCCCCAGCTTCTTAATTCTATAAACACTAGTCATCCTTTCATTACATAGACTAGTAGTGTTTTATTCACATCCTTTTCCTTTTCATACTTTTTTACTTTTCTATTCAATGTGTAGTCATGTATTTTTCACAAATGTCTAATCTAAAACACTTGTTACTAACAGTTGGGTGGTTTATCTTTTGAATGAATATACACACATGTATACACACAAATATATAATTTAATTAAAAATTTGCAAAGTTAGCTATCTATACACACACATATGTATCTTTGAGATAGGAAATGAAAAAATTATTAACAGATTTTTGTAGAAAAGTTTGCAAACTGTTAATTAGAGGTAACACTGTAAGTATCTGTAGTAAACACAGACATTTTGCATTCAGAGATGAAACCACATTTTTTTTATGACAGACGTACTTGGTAAATATTTCCGAGGAATGAACACTGAATTAACCATTGAGTTAACTTGACTGATGGATTCTTGTTCTTGAGCCTGAATACTATGGCCAAGGAAAACTTTTGTAACGAGGAGGATGCCTAAATATAAAAAAATTATTAACAATAATTCTTTTTAATAATTTTCTAATACAACATTCTTTATTGGCCTCAGACTTTACTGTGTGTTCTGTAAAGGCAGTGATTTGGACTATCTTGTTTGCTATTTGTTTGTATAGCACATAGCACACTGCTAGATTCAAAGTAGAAGCTCAACAAATATTTGCTGAATAAATGGAGGGAGTCATGTGATTATATCAAGCAAATCTTTGTTAAAAAGGAAAGAACAATAATTTAACAAAATTTTTAAAGAAGTTTTTAAATAAGTAGTTAAATAGGTAGTTAAAAATATGAAGAGGGGTTTTTTTGTTGGGTAAAAATTTATCTCTATCAGTAGCACCTAGCATGTAGCTTAGATAGTAGGAGGCATTCAAAACACATCTACAGAATGGATGAACATTTCTTTTCTCTTCAGATTCTTAAGGTTCCTTGGGATTCACTAAATCACAAAGTCACAAATCTTTTTCAAAATTTCTAATCACAATGCATAAACATTCAAATGATTTTTGTTTGTTTTTACTATGTACAAAATATAAAGTGTAAATTGAGAGAAACTAATTGTTTTGGAAAACATTCCAGAAGTATCTAGCAGAACATCATGAGGTACTTCTTAAGATGGGAATGGAGAAGAATGATAAATGCTTTTCTCAAGTAATAAGTTCTTCTAAGATTCAACAATCTGCTTAATTTTCTGGTTATTCATATTACTAAATGGACAGAAGCTGGAAACATTTCCCTTGAAAACTGGAACAAGACAAGGCTGCCCACTGTCACCCCTTTTGTTCAATATTGTGTTGGAAGTTCTAGCTCAGGCAATTAGACAAGATAAGGAAGTCAGGGGTCCCCAAATAGGAAAAGAGGAAGTCAAGTTATCCCTCTTTGCTGATGATATGATACTATACCTTGAAAATCCAAGAGAATCTGTCAAAAACCTGCTTGCACTGATTAAGGACTTTGGCAAAGTCTCAGGGTACAAAATAAATGTGCAAAAGACAGTTGCATTCCTATACACCAACAACGAGCAGGCAGAGACCCAAATTAAAAGCACAATCCCATTCACGTTAGCCATACACACACAAAAAATGAAATACCTCAGCATCTTCCTAAACAGAGAAGTGAAACACCTTTACAATGAGAACTACAAAACGCTGCTCAAAGAAATCCAAGAAGACACAAACAAATGGAAAAATATTCCACACTCATGGATAGGAAGAATCAACATTGTTAAAATATCCATCCTACCAAAGGCAATCTACAGATTCAATGCAAGCTCAATTCATTAAGTTACCAACATCATTCTTCTCAGACCTGGAAATGACAATACAGAAATTCATATGGAAACATAAACAACCACGAATAGCTAAAACAATCCTTAGCAAAAGAAACAAAGCAGGAGGTATCACACTTCCAAACTTCAAACTTCACTATAAGGCGACAGTAATCAAAACAGCCTGGTATTGGTACAAGAACAGGCACAGAGACCAACGGTACAGGATAGAGATTCCAGAAGCAAAGCCTCAATTCCTCAACCAATTCATCTTTGACAAAGCCTCCGACAACAACCACTGGGAAGAAGAGAACTTATTCAGTAAATGGTGCTGGGAATACTGACTGATCACATTCAGAAGACTGAAACAGGACCCCCACCTATCACCATACACAAAAATTAACTCTAAATGGATCGAAGACCTAAGTGTAAAACCTCAAACTATAAGAATCTTAGAAAATGCAGGAAACACCCTTATGGAAATTGGAAATGGCAACCAATTTGTATTCAGAATGCTAAAGGCCAATACCTTAAGAAAGGATAGATAAGTGGGGATTCATCAAACTAATGAGCTTCTGCAAAGCAAAAGAAACCATCAAGAGAGCAGGGAGACAGCCCACAGAATGGGAAAAAATATTTGACAACTGTATATCTGACAAAGGCCTAACATCTAGGATCTACAAGGAACTCAAAACACGCCAAAAGGAAGAAAACAAACAGCCCCTTTTAAAAGTGGGCAAAAGACATGAATAGACACTTCTCAGAAGAAGATATACGGGCAGCCAACAGACCCATGAAAAAGTGCTCGGCCTCACTTATCATCAGAGAAATGCAAATCAAAACCACATTGAGATACCACCTAACCCCAGTAAGAATGGCCATCATTAATAAAAGAAGCAACAACAGATGCTGGTGAGGATGCGGAGAAAAAGGAACACTTCTACACTGCTGGTGGGAATGCAAACTAGTGCAACCTCTTTGGAAGACAGTGTGGCAATTTCTGAAAGAACTAGAAATTGACCTTCCATATGACCCAGCAATTCCCCTATTGGGAATATACCCGGAGGAACTCAAATCATTCTACAAAAAAGATACCTGCACACGTATGTTTGTTGCAGCTCTATTCACAATAGCAAAAACGTGGAACCAACCATGTTGCCCATCAAAGCTGGATTGGATAAAGAAAATGTGGTACATTTACACAATGAAATATTATGCAGCCATAGAGAAGGACAAATATATGGACTTTGCAGCAACTTGGATGGATTTGGAGTCGATTATATTCTGATCTATCACAGAAACAAAGAACAGAGTACCATATGTTCTCATTCATAAGTGGACCTTGAACAATTATAATACTATAAGAAAGCATTTGGCATTAATGGGAAACTGTCAGGGAAAGGGAGGTGGGATTGGCAGTTGAGAGAAACTGCTAGGGGAGGGAGGGCCATACCTCATCAACAAGGGTACCTGCATAATCAATATTTGTATACCTAATTCTAAATTGTACACCACATCTTTATAATAAAAAAAAGATGACAAATCAGAGAACTAGGGGGAAAAGATGTGGGAGTCCCCTACCACATTCCACATGCAGAAATTACAAAAATTCAACAATATCCAACCTGCAATATCAATTTCTGGATTCTGGTTATGTGGTTATATGAAATGTGAGGATTTTTTTTCCTCTAGTAAGCAAATATAGTATTGTACTATATAAATATAGGTCCTGTTTTAGTGCTTTCCATGAATGGTGTTTGAGCATCGAGTGATCTTTTTAACTATTGATTTTTGGCTGTGTCTCAGGTTCACCAGGTGAAAATAAATACATCATTTTCCAAAAAAATATTTCTGGTTATTATTTACTGAATAAAAGACTGCAAAACATATATCATTAAGTTCAGCAAGAATCATCTTAGCAGAGACATGATTTAGAACCTAGAATGTCATTCCTATAGAATTAAGGTAATCATGTTTCTGACCATCCAATTTTTAGTAGACTGGATAGTTGAGCACAAAAAACAGGTGTTCTGTACTCATAATTTTACATTTCCTTGTGAGATTATTGATATCTTTGAGCACTAAAAAGGAGAAACTGTCTATTTTGCATGGACTGTATCCCAACACCTACCAGTGCCTAATACATAATAAGCATTCAAGGAATACTTGTGGAACTAAGGACTGCACAGTGGGAGATGAGGAAAGAGAGGGCATGATGAGATGGTCTTTTCTTCCAATCTGTGGGTACCAGGAATCTCTCCCAGAAGCGTCCTACAAATTGGTTCATGTACTTATATTTATAAATATTCAAATGGCAAATAAAGTGTTGATAATTATGAATAAGTTAAAATATCAAAATTTCATATTTAGACACCTTATAAAGCATTTCATACACTTAAAACTTTGTCTTTAGCTGATTATAAATTATAATTAAGTTTTCTTATCATCTTACATCATGATGATTCAGAACAAATAAGGCCCTACCTTCCAGAGTGCTATATACAATTATCATCTATATGGGTCAAATTCTCTTTTTTCTTTCCTGTGAACTTTGTGTGTGTAACATTTATGTCATAAAATACAGCATAATGAACAAGAGCAGACTGTAAAGTGTTGGCTTGAATATCTGAGTAACAGATGTTCCAATTAATACTGACACACGACTTCCAGCAAGATGGTGACGGGGCAGCTCGTTCTGTGAGACTCTCCACCAGGAGATCACAAAGAGACTCTGGTTTTCTCCCCAGAGGCTGCAGATCCCATCATCGGCAGCCTGCTCTTCGCTCAGAGCTCGGCCGTAGACCTTGCTGAGGCATCACCACGGTCCAGGCAGCTACTGTGGCTGCCGCTGCCACGGCTGCTGCCACTGCCGCTGGGGCTGGCAGCCATTCCACATCGCACTGCCAGTGCCAGAGGCGAGCCACAGCCATCGTCGTCACCACCGCTGCCTTCAAGGCAGCCATTACACATCACTCTGCCTGTGCCTGAGGCCAGCCGCAGCTGCTGCTGCTGCTGCTGCCGCCACTGCCGAAGCCGCCACTGCCGAAACACCCATTCCACATCTGATCGTCAGTGCCTGAGGTGAGCCGCAGCTGCCGCCACCAAGACAGCCATTCCACATCGACCGGCCCATGCCCGAGGCAATCCACAACTTCAGACCTCAAAGCCCCCGTGAGCAAGATCTGCTGAGGTCTACTACCACAGGACGTCCTGCCAGACCGTGAGTCACCTGCGTGTGCCTTGAGGCAACATCTCCCTCCCCTTAGGGGCAGGCGAGCAGCTGAGATAAAGACCATCTGGAGCGAGGGATAGCATCACCTGCTGGTGATTCAAGGTAACAACGCAGAAAGGGGAAAAGTGGAAGCCTGGCAGACACAGGCCACATCTGAGTGGTGAATGGGACACTGGTGAACTGAGTGATGATCTGAACTGCCCTTCACAGCAGACCAGGGGCAACTGACCCTAACTGTGAACAAACTTACTTACCAGCCTGAAAAGAGCTAGAAATCAGAGATGAAAGGACATTCGACATAAACGAAAAGTCTGAGTGTGCTTGATTGGTTATGTTATTCTACTGACTTGATTCTATTCCTTCGGTTTTATCCCCCCCTTTCTTTTTTTTTCTCCTTTTCCCTTCTTTTCTTTTCTTCTCTCTGTAAACGATATCTTTGTATAGAGGAATAACACACCAATAAGGAGGTTGGTAAGCTTGTAT